GATTTGCCTTTATTTATTTTTGCTTCTTCAGAAAACCAGTGTAGATTAAAACAGACTACTTGTAGAGAAGCACAGTGTGGTGTTTTTCTTTCTGTCCACTGCTATACTTCTAGAATTTCGTTTGGTTCTTTGGCATTTTAATACCTTAGAGCCAGGCTCAGCAAACTTTTGAGATGGAAGAGCCAATCCTGTCCCTCACAACAGTTTGAAACATTATTCAAGAGCCATAAATATATTTGTATATATAAGAAAATTTTACTATAATATAAATGAAGCTATGATCGCTGGATGTCCATGGTCAATTTTACTTCAGCGCCACGTGCACTCTACAAAAGAGCCAACAGCGCAATAGAAGGCTGAGCGAACATTCGATCCGTTTGCCCCGTATTCCAGCTGTGACGGATGTGAAAACCAGGGAAGGGAAGAGCACACAGGAGAAAGAGAAGGCTCCACGAGGGCCACCTGTGTGCCAAATACTAGCCAGAAAACATTCATTAAATAACAGAATCTCATTTCCCAATTTAATACATAGCTAGTTCCTTTGTTTTGTTCATGTCAGTTCTCAGCGCCATCCTTAACACCAGTATGGGGCAAGATTTCTGAGCAAAATAGCAACGCTCTCTTTCAACATTGTCTCAAATTCTAGTTTTAGGTCAAGGCTCCACAGCACTTGTTCTTTGTATTCAGAAACGTTGCTGAAATCGTAAATGGGCCTTTTGCAAATAATAGCTGTATCTACCATATTTCTTAGGCAGGGTGGGGAGGAATATGGGAAATAAAAACTGTGTGTCTCCATTAGAAAGCACTGCTGTTCTTTGCAGTACGATTCAGAAGTTTGACGACAAAAACTAATGTCCCCGGAAATCCTAAGAGCTTAGAAATGGCAGTATAAGTACTGGTCTACCCAGCAGTGGGCAGAGGAACATCTAAAGACTACTTCCTCCCCATCTACTCATGGCACTGAGGCTGCAGCTCGTCACTGGCTGAGTGTATCTGAGCAAAATGAAGATATTCATGGCTCAGTTCTAAGTAGAAGGTCCCTTCCGCAAATGGGTTAAGCGAGCCGCAGGGATCCTAACTGTTCTCTGACCTTGCTGCCAGCGAGTCAACTCACAGCAACCCTACAGACCAGCGGTTCTCAACCTGTGGATCACCCGATCCATCACAGTAGCAAAATTACAGTTATGAAGTGGCAACAAAAATAATTTTATGATTGGGGAGGTCACCACAACATGAGGAACTGTATTAAAGGGTTGCAGCATTAGGAAGGTTGAGAATCACTGCTATAGACAGAATAGAACTCCCCCTGTAGGTTCCCAAAGCTATACAGTTTTATGGGTTGCAGAAAGCCTTTGCTTCTTCCCATGGAAGGGCTGGTAGGTTCAAACTGCTGACCTTGAGGATACCAACCCGACGAACAACCCATTATGCTACCAAGGCTCCTAAGGGTCATAAAAATCAAGCTCACTCCCATTGAGTCTATTCTGACTCCTAGCAGCCTGTACGCCAGGGTGGAACTGCCCCTGTGAGCTTCTCAGACTGTCCCTCTAGGGAACAGGAAGTCTCATCTCTCTCCTGGGAAGCAATTGCTTGGATTCAAACTGCTCAACTTGTGGTTAGCAGCCCATCCTCCAACCCATGACACCACCAGGGCTCTTAAGGGTATACTGGGAAGCTATTTATTCCTCAATCATTAGAATAAAATACCCATAAGCTGTTAATAAAAATCCCTTGTACTTATGAGTTACGTGATATAGCAAACCCATAAACCACGTATAAAGTTGACAGGCACTAGTTCCTAAACTGGCCATGGCTCCGGAACCTGCTTATCTTTGTGTTCCCTCCATTGTCATCGGTTGACCGGCTTCACTTCCTTATGCATATACAGTGCCAGGTGGCTTTGACAGCCCTCTGGCTCTAGGCTTCCCTGCAGAGCCCCTACTTTGTCTCATGACCTGCTCTGAATGTTATTCCCGCTTTCAAATCATGTTTCCCGCTAGATTATTTCATCTGCTGGTAGCCTATGCCACGGGGGAATGCTTTGAGTCGGTTCCCTTCATTACAAACACAAGCTGCAAATCTCACACCTCCACAGGTGAGGACATAATTCTGTCTGGAAAGCCTCACCAGCAATTCTGTTCATTTTACTCACACAATGAGGCGCACGTTTGTTCCGGGCATGAGCTCTGTTCGTGCGATTTAGATCGCAAACCCTTTCTCTCTCAGCAGCTGCTCCAAAGAGGTAAGCGGGTCTGACCTAAGCAGCACCACCGTTCTGGAAAAGGAAAGCTGGGCTTTCTACTCCCAGAAACCGTTACAGTCTCAGAAAGCCACAAGGGGGTTGCTATGAGTTAGCATGGACTCAGTGGCAGTGAGTTTGGTTTGGAGTACGATAGTAGAGGAGACCTGGTGGAGTGGTTGTTATGTATCAGGCTGCTAAACAAAAGCTCAGCAGTTCGAACCCACTAACTGGTCCACCGCTGAGGCTTTCCACTCCCCTCAAGAGTTACAGTCTTGGAAGCCCACACGGGAAGTGCGACCCTGCCATAAAGGGTCACTATGAGTCGGAATCAACTCCGTAGCAGTCAGTTGAGTTTTGTAGGTATCACTATTAAAAATGTAGTCCAATGACAAAGGATGTACGGGACAAAGGGTGCAATCAATGTCATCAGATTGGACATGTGAAACTCAAGTTTACATTTGTGAAGGTTTTTGCAGTACATTGTCACTGCATTTTTTTAAAAAACCCAAAGAGAAGGATGCTCTGGTTCAAAGAAAAGACACATGTACCATCCTTGCTCTGCTCTATCATACACTCAGCCCGGCTTCCAAGTTCGTCTTCAGGACCCACTCCCATGACCTGGTCTTCACGTACACCTGTCCTCTTTTAAAGTCTCCTTATATTCACAAAACCCGAGCTTCCTTCCCACAGTTGCTCTCCCCACGGTGCTACAGTCAGAGAGAGGGCTGTCATTTGAAAGCGTGAGTCGTTGAGAAAGCAGGTAGTTTGAACCCAAGGACTAAACTATATCTAGTCTCTGCCGGTACATAACTCCGAGGGATCCTGGTGTTGGGCAGCTCTTTCAACAGCAGACCATGTAACCAGAAAGAAAAGAGCCCTTCACCCTTCAGAGGCACAATCCATTCTTCTTTTAAAAAATGAAGTCTCATGTACAAAATGAAAGCGTCAATACTCAGGCAATGGAAAGAAGTCTCTCTAGAAAGAATTAACTGAGACTACAGGTTCATGTCATAGGCATTCTCTCACCCCC